AGAGAACATAATTCTCCTTCAGGTCAGTTTTTAAAATGAATGCATTGAGGCTGCAGTCGCTGGTACTTTTTTTAAACACATTACTACTGCTACTATTATTCTAGAGATGATATTACACTACGAGACTAAAGAACAATAAAATATTTAAAGGTCAATACGTGAGGACATAACTTTTTCTTCTTTGTTTATTTTGTTTCTTCATTTTTAACATTATATTATATATATTTCTTAACTGAATAAAACACGCTGATAAATATTACACGTGACTTGAATACTGGTAAACAAGTACACACTATTTCAAAGGTTACGTCTACTACTAAGAGAATCAGTAATATAAATTAAATAGCGATAGTGTTTTCACTAAAATAAAATTTAATTACAGTTACATTTACGAAAAAAAATGTTACTACTGTTTTTGAAAGCTTTTGCCATTATTATAGGTCCAAATGACTCGAACAATGAAAGTTGAAGATTACGGTATGTTTCGATCAGTCCCGGACCGTTTATCGTAACGTTTTGTGGGAATCAACGAGTAGATATGCTGAAACTATTATGTAATGAAAGGCAATATTTCTAATGGATTGAGTTTGGTGATATTTTATTTGGAATTCTAACTAAAATACTAATGTATTCTTTAAATAAGAGAAAACCTTACCACGCTATTGGTCACTGTAATTATATCATCATTAGCTTAAGATTGCCCGATCAACTGCATAAACACAAAAATGTAGGTATTTTATACATATTGTTTACTACGTCGCGTCGTCATTAAACCAGTGAGGATAATTTACAAAAATATGTGTATTTTACCGTTAAATACAAAAGCATTTACTAGTGAATTCATTGCATTGTAATCATTCTTCAGTATTATTATTTCCATTACGCAACAAGCGAATTGTTGTTGCTCAAGATGATTAAGCGTTTATTATTGTTTAGCGTAATGCTATACGCGGAACACGGGCGGTTCCGTTTACACTAGGAGTATATAATTTAATGATCTTTCTCATGCTCAGATGTAAAATAAAAAGCCACAGTGCCTCGGGTCATACTATGATCATACGACCGGTGTGTTCCCGGTACATTTATCTCCCAATCTCACAGAGCCGGAGGGCAGGAGTGCAACACAACTCGTTAGACCGGTTCTCTCTCGGACCCCTTCTCTCCTCGCCGTTCCCATTACAAACCGGTATTTCTAGTCCAATCTTAAGCCTCGGCGGTCTCACTTTGCTAAATAGTTTATAGTGAAGAAACGACTGCTTATAAACAACCTCCTTTACATCCTCGAATTTACATTAATAGTGGCTTCACAATTTATGTAAGCGATTTCTAGTTAAGTCTAAATATAAAATTAATTTTACGATACCTTACTTGTGTTTAATGTATTTAGTTTTTCTTTTCTTAGTTTTTTTTACATAATGTTTGTAAATGGGTGAATATTTGTTCTTTATTTACCTTTAAATTTTCCGTTTCTCTCGCAAAATATAATTTAATGTTGCTAGTTTTTGTTGTCAATCAAGCACGTGACGGAACAATGACAAGGATTTAAATATTGTCACTTCATTTTAAGTTATTTTTATTTTTTAAATTATATGGAACGAAGAATTATGTATAAATACTAAACAGGAAATGGTAAAAAAGAGAGATAATTAAATTATTTCTTAAAGTTAGCTCGACATTCCGAGAATATCAACAATTAAATCCAAAGTAACATAACAAATTCGCAATTCACATTATATCTTATCATCTGTATCTGTTGATGATGATTGATGATCTGTATGTGCCTGAACGAAATGTGCTTTTAATAATATTGGAACGAAGTTCCTTATCGCGCGTTGTGAAAAAAAAAAAAATAGACGGAAAAAATTCTTACGAAAATTGGTCACGACACTTTTTGCTATAGTAAGCTATTGTAAGCTGTGCGGCGTCGCATGTTTCTCTGTCTGTCTCTCTCTCTCTCTTATAGAAAGCAAGCCAGATATTTTCATTTCTATCTTTTTATGTCAGTCATTCAGCGCCATATATCGAATAGATAGGAAATCATTTCTCAAGGAGATTTTACCCATGTATAAATTGTTTTAATTAGAAACCAACTGAAAAATATGTAGGTAATAGCCGCTTTCATAGATGGCGTTGTAATTAAAATGTGCCGAATCAGTTTTACTCGATCGTTACAACTTCGTTCCTATCGGGTGTCCCACGACACCACACGGCTTTTTTTTACACATAGAAACATCTGCGGAAAGAAAAAAAAACAACGTTACCGGCTTTTAAAGAAAAAAGGGTACTTTTGATTTTTAATCGCGAACAATCGTTCACAGATCATCAAAGTAGCATGTCATAATGACTACTGTAAGTAAAATCTTTTAAATAATATTATGAAAATAGTTAAGCAGGTACTTCGTTGACAAATCTAAGATCGCGAAATCGAAATCGAAAATAAAGATTTTCTCGAAACACCATTTCAAACAGCAATAGTAATTATTTATAAACAAGTAAATACTTTTGCAAGATAACAATCTAATGCAAACCACATGCTACAAACCACAAAATTACACGTACTTTCAAACTTACAGACAAAGTCATTTGGATCAGTTCCAAGTATGTTTTGTTAATGTCGTGCCGCAGTAATAACAAGCAAAAGGAAATATGTAAGTAATTTATATGAGAACAACTGGGTCAATCCAATAAAATTAAAATCAGCTTTATACCTTTGATACTTACCCTATCTCCTAATATTTTAATGGTCAATTTTCATTATCTAATTCAGCAAATAAAAAATTCGACACTACATTGATGTTATGTACTTAAAAATAATAATCCCCCCAAAATGTATTTAAATGAGAGATATCAATATCGCTTGAAGACGTAAATCTAACCATGTTGTAAGTTAAAAGTAAGTATCATCATCATCTTTTTTTTCATAATTAGTTAATACGAGGTTACTAAACTATTGGCTGCCCGCTGGCTGGGTACATTAATTGCAGTAAACGTGAAGTTTGCCAGGTCTACTCGTAGTAATGAGACGTAATCGTGGTGTTGTGCATTTCGTTCGTACTATTTAACGAAACAACTTCCCAATTGACGTAATTAACGTTACATTTAATGGTTGTAGTAAGAGATATTATGAATCATATTAGTTTAGTCATAATGTTTAATTAAAAAGTACCTACACTCCTATTCGCCTAGTGTACTTCTAAAATTAAATTGTATTAGTGATACATATAAAAAAACACTCAATTAATAACAAATTAATAGTATGAGGTTAAGTGGATAGCAGCTTATGATAAAATGATGTAATTATGTCATTAAACCCAATGATTTAAAGGAATATTTATCTACAAGTTAACTATATTTTGTTTTCAAATATTGAATATAAATTATAACAATATTGTAAGCTGACTTAGCAAGATAATTTCTATCGTAAATTTTGTTTACTGTATATTTTTAGTCGAACGTACTTATAATTCTGCGCCTTAACAATCGAATTGGATGAGAAATTTCACAGTCATTTTCAGTTATTTATTATTTTATTATATCTTTTTTTTTGTTGTATTGTATCGTTTGACAAAACAGACAATCAAAATGATAGATACCTAGTTGGTGTATATTTTAACAAAGAAAACGATGTTTCGTGTTGTGTTTGATGTAACTGGAATCAAATTCGTCGAAATGCTCCCGTTTCCATTAAGTCCGCAAAACAGGATAAATATCGTGACTCTATTTCCATCCACCTAGAAGGTTCGGCCCGGGCGGCACGCAGCTTTGTCAGGTGAGATTTATTCACGTATAGCCTTAACATGCGCGAGTGGGCGTACGTGGGATGTAGACGGGCCTTGTGGTATTCATGTACCGTCTTTATGTCGCTATGTCTAGCGAACTCCATATTTGGACTTTATTGCCCTTTACAATCATATATTATTTCGTAAAAGTAAATTATCATAAAGTCAAAGTATGCTTAGCGTTGTCCAGGCTAGTATTACTTCGATCGGTAAGTTCGAAATCTAATAACTTAGGATAGATTTCAAACAAACTTTTACAAGTGGCCTTTATGAAATTCGAAGTAACTAATGGATCTTAATTAAATAGGAAAATATTCCAATCAAGAGTGAAAGTTTATAAATAGTCTCCTCCGCAGCGGTTGCTTTATCATACCGAACAAAGGAACAATAACGACCAACAAAGAAGTTAGAAAAGAACAAAAGCAAACATTGAGACCGAGTCAAATGAGCTGTTTCCTTCTAAGGCGATGTAATAACAATAACAATATGGCCGACTTTGTGCGTGCGTGCGTCGATTAGTGATGCGCGCAACACTTACAAGTCTCGCAACTGATCTAATTAGGTAAGTCGAGGCTCGCGAACCTTTTCAGAAATTCTCGTAAACATCTCTCCGGAATTAACGGTCTGTTATGTCGTACATACTGAGAGAGATGTATGTATATTTAGTGAAGGTGGAAAAGAGACAGTCCTCATATCGGGGTGTGGCTATCTCTACTTTGTATGCACTACGCCTACATAGCTGCATGCGAGCATAATATGTGTGCATGATATGTATATTAGACGGTCGTGATCATGCCATTATATGTTAACTAGCTTTCCGATGAATGTGTACTGTTAGAGATTAAACGTTTATTATGTAGAAGTTAACAAAAATGAAATAAGTACCTGGTATGTATAGTAATAAGAGTAAAGGGTTGGAAAACTGCCAACGAAAGTGATCTACTAAGAGTTGATCTACTAAGAAATTGTACATGTTACTTTATAGAATTATTGTTTTTGTATTAAAATATAGACAAAAGCAGAAAATACGGCAAACGTTATGCAAATAAAAAATATCACATATCTTAAGGTCATGATTATAATGAAAATACAACTGAATTACCATAACCAGATAAGAACAATGAAGACAGAAGATGGATGGGAACAAAACAAATAGAAAAGGTAAAAATAATAAAGATTCCGACTAATAGGTGATAGTAAACAATGAGTCATGACAAGTACCGGCGGCAGGCTGGAGGACGGCGCACGGTCCACAATGGCCACAAAGCACCCAAATCACTTCACGACGTCACACGACACATTAGAAATTCCAAAAACATGTGGCGTTAGTGCGGTGAAAGGTAAAATGCGTTTAGTAAATCGTTCCGAGTAACGAGTAACAGAGCGTAGTCATGCCAGCGCGGGAGAATGGCGCAAACTGGCGATGCGGGGGGCGGGGGGAGAGTGCAACCCCGCGCCGCTCCTCCCCTTCCTTCCACCTGCCCCTTCACTCGGCAGCAAGGCTCAGCCGCTCAGCGGCCCGGCCACCAGACAGGTTTGCATAATTAATGATACTTCACACACATTGCACCTTCCGTACCAACAAGGTCGTCTTTTAATTATATGGATTTGCGATATTACATGATAGTAATTTGTTTGTTGATAGAAACTTTTTTTTTTTAGATTATTTATCTAAGTTATTTTATTTAAAATTCTAAAAGATAAAACACTACAACGTTTTATCATTTAATCTAAACCTATTAGTGATAAGTTAAAACAGATTAATATTTAAAATACAATCTTTCGTACCTATTCTAATAAAAATACAATAAGTTCAAAATTCACACTCGATAAAAATAAGAAATGAGACTTAATTTCTTAATAAGTTACTTGTATCACTTATTATCGAGGTCAGTTTGACTAATTAACTGCACTTGAAAGAACACAATTCAAATGAATACAAAAGCTAGATGTTTGAAAATTAAGTAACTGTCATTGAGGTCAAAATGAATATTAACCTTCAAACAAAACAAGAACAAAGTAGTGGCGCTTTAATACAGATCCTTCTGACGGGTGGCGGCGGTAAAGCGGGAGGTGTGGGTCGTGTGGGACGAGGGTGTTCGGTTACCCGGGCGTTCCAGACGAATCCCGGCGTCCCGCACTTGTTTCGATCGATATCCGTATCCGCTGCACACCACGGGAACTCACATTAACTAACTCCACCGATTAATTTGGAAAGTCGGCCGATGTTGTTTCAAACTTTACCGATTAGAGCGACACGGGATACTCTCTCTCTTCCTATTCCAAATATCAACAACTCGTTATTAATAATAATAACGTGCAAATATTGAGAATATCTGTTTAACTTTTTTGATTTCCTTTGTACAAGAGAAACATTAATAACATTTCAAGGAGATAAGATTTCATTTTGGCAGCACGTCAAATCAAAATGATCACGCCTGATCAAATATGAATAGAGAGTTTGCTTGCCAAGCAATCAGTAGTCATATTGGTTACATTTTGACGTCTGCTAGAATAAGCCAGAAATTATGTATATTTTGTATTATAAGATATATCTTACGTATAGTAACTTCTGGCTCTTTCTGATGTATACAAATGGATAAAATATTTATTTTTTAGAAAAACATTTTTAGTAAATGGTAATCAATTGACGCAGTCAATGTAGCAACATCATTTAAACCTATAATGGAGAACATCAAAGCTGCTTCTATTTTAGATACAAATTGTTTAATGTGAAATGATCCAGCTGAAATGCTCCATGTCTAAACAAGTTCGAGTTCTAACAATTCACAACTAGTTATCAATCAAGCTTAGTCACCACTAGTTCTTAATGTAAATGCGTTTGTTTTTCGTCACGGATCAGTTGGGCGCCAACCCAAATAAAATTAAGGACCAATGGTGAGAATCCGCGAACTACAAATACAATAGAGTCCTTGATATGCCATTCTGATTGATTCAGTACAACAAGTTTCAGAATACAATCATTAAACATAATAAAACAGTCCACGTATGTAATATGGATGTCTCCAAAATGAATATGACGATAGCGGAATAAATTGCAAATGGCAACCATTTATCCTTGTTACATTGTCACCAATGACCCGATTGCCAGAGGGGGGAGTTTATTTATTAGACGCTTGTGGTATTTGCATACAAAACCGTTTGGACCGTTTTCTATTTTTATGGCGTAAGTGCCTTTTGTTTAGAATAGTTATGTACATTATGCATAAGTGTAATTTTCACGTGAAAATGTGTTTACTACTTTTAAGTCAGCCTTCAGTTAAGAATGCAAACTAATTTAGGGCAATGTAAGGTTATATTTATTCATTTTCATATCACAATCCTTGGGTATGAAAAGAAAATGCTTATCATGCTTATATGCATGATAAGCATTTTCTTTAATTATTTTCAAATGTAATTTAAGCAAAATTTTATGTTCATCTTAAGTTACTATATTGTGGCTTAAGTACATCACTATAAGTCATTTCAGAGAATGCCTTATGAAATGTAAGATTGCGACTAATTACGGTAATTTAGAACTCGTAACTTCCAGAAGAACCTTAATAATATAATTTAACCTTAAATTAAAACAGTTGGTCTATAAGCCAATATTGAAGTAAATGATTACACTTTAAATATCATACGTAAGTATATGGTATTTCACATGTATGTATATATTACCAATATCATTGAAGTAAAATGTGATGTTTAACCCATTATAATGGTTGTTGAAAAAGTATGATATACAAAAGATTCTCACGATATGGATAAGAACGCGACTCTACGTTTTCTGCGCGCGGCGGGCGGCCTACCCCCCTTTTATATGAAACTACTTTAATTTTAATTTAATTTAACTTAAAAAGAAGGGCTAAAACGCAACTTATGTTTATTCTCAAATATCTTAGTTGTTTAATTAAGATCACTGTTCGATAGATAAATGTAAAACTCAAGACATTATTGATTTATTAACATGCTTTTATTAGGTTGACGCAATAACGTGATTTTGACCTACTTTAAAACGTCTTACGTACGTTTTAAACGACTATATTCTTGTATGTATGTGTAATGTATGTGTATGTATGTTTAATAATTTAAATAGTTTGTCCCAATATCCTGATCGTCTTGTGCCACGTACTATGTGCGCGTGTGCTGATCAGCATGTGATAAACTTATTTGTTATTTTTTTAGTCTTAGTAAGATAATAATCAATATTAGTGATTAAAAAATAAACATAAATTTATAGCTCTAAAAAACCACGCCTTTGTTGCTTGCCGAACTAAAAAGTAGGAAAGTATTTTCTAACAGTTCAAAAAGAAAAATCGTTTTATCGAAAAATGTCGTTAGGTGCTTTTCAAGGTATTTTATAATATAATAACTTTACTTTTACCAATATCTGTCAGAAAAATATTTTTACAACAATTGAGATCTACAATTGACTTGCTTGCTTTTTTACGATACAATGATTTTTTCTTTTTGAACTTATAGAAAATAATTTCCTAATTTTTAGTTCGGTTAGTTACAAAATCATGTTTTTTATGTTTGTTTTAAACTATGATTTCATTTTAAGTAAAAGTCCTTGTTACAATTTTTTGTATATTTATATTAATTTCACAAATAAAATAATATTTTACGTTCCGTTGTGATGGCGCCTTCGACTGCAGTCTCAAATTATAATTTATTCAGATTGACCACTAGGTGTAGAGCTGGTCTTGGCAAAACTCCAACTTAAAATGGTTTCTCTGAAATGTTTCGAACGCAACACTTCCTTGCCTTTTCGTTTTACTGTGTTTATTTTTTACACACATATTATTACAATTCATATTTAGCAGTTTAACATAAACTTTAACAAATATATAAATAGCTAGCTAATGCATAATTCCCAACACATAGCTACTTCTATTTTAAATAAGTAAATGTACTTTTCAGTTTATAGGTTTGGAGAACTACAGATAAGAATTCGAGATAGTAGTTTATTTGACATTAATCTCAGTATTACCAGCTCAAAGTATCGGTAACGTATTAAAGTAATCACAAATGTTAATCAAGACTTCTTTCGTATAATTAAATATTTAAGTTTATGATATATCTTATAAAATATATCATTTGTAACGTACTTTTGCTTGCTTCTCACGTTAATCTTATGAGATAGGGAGTATTGTGTATCAAATACTAATGAACGACCATGTCTCCCTGGATACTAAAGTATTTGATTGCTATAGAAGCTAGATAATTTACCATAATAGTGTTGTGTGTGATAATCTATTAAATTTGTATTTTCGTAGCGCGATGCTACACTACAAGCTCGAGTTACAATTCAGGATAACTATCATAAATCAATTCAAAATAAAAACACACAAATAACCAAGTAACGGCAAATTTGCTAACAGATTGTAGATTTTAACATCATGACTAACCGGATTTCCCCACGTCGAATACTTTGGGTCATTAGCAAAGTTTAAAACGACTTGTAAATAAGACCGGCGCCAACTTTCGATTGAAATCTTTAGTACAAACGAGTGCTAGTCTTAGACAAAAAGTTATTCAAGATATTTCTTGACCGTTCAATTCAGAAAAGTCAATACAAAAAGGATCTCAGTAATAGCTGTTTCACGATCAAGGAACACCTGCCCACCTACCGTCTTGTGCAATCTAAAAACCATCTAAAGTGCACTTTTCAAAGTAGTTTTTACTATTCCCGAGGTATGTACAGGTACAACTCGAGTTAGGATTACAGTTTAGCACTCTACTCACGTAAGGAAAGAGACGGTGCTATTACAGTACAGCAAGATGGAAAAATGGGGATGATTTGTTTGAATATACTTTTCGAATCGATAGCCCTTAAGAGCATTCAAAATGCTCTATTCGGATGTCCATTTCACAATGTGACTTTGCAAGATGAATTGTTTATGGTTTCGAGCTCAGGGAGTACTCTTCAAAAAGGGTCAGTGATCCAGACAAATTACTGCGACGAGAATTGCTTAGCTCCCCCTTTGTCAAATCGGCGCGCAATGTTCGACTTAATCGCATTATTTGCAGGATTTACGTTCCGTTGAATTTTTGGGCTAAATTAAAATGGAAGGTAGGAGAAGCAGGAGTTTGCGCTAATCGAGTAAACATTGAGCCTTTATTTATGTCAAACTAGGTTTCCGTTGAGTATGCAAATGTGGGATTCATTTTGAACGCTTTATTGTCGGACGAAGTGGATGCGGTGTGTGAATTATTTACATCACAAACTACAGGAATTTTCAAATGTGTTGTTAACAGTTGTGTAGCGGACA